AGTTATTGTTTTCTGGTTCGGAGATGTCAACCGGTTTTCTATGATCATTAGAAACATATTGCTCTCATCTATTTCTCTAATTTTTTAATATCATCAACTGGTACTTTATAGCATTTAATAAACAATATTTTTTTTTAATTAATAAAAGAAACTCAATAAATGATTTAATTGAGTACTAATAATGTTTACAATATATCTGGGAACAATGATCTCCACAACATTAACATGGAAGTAAATAGGATAGTTCAATCTCAATTATGATCTTTGACTTTTAAGCAAAGAATACTTTTTTCTTCAATTGCATTACTTTATAAACTAATGAATAGATTTATTGTGTATACCACAACTACAAATGAAAAACAACCACTAATATTGCCAGATAAGGTTCATCTTGTAATGATAAAGGTCTAAATGCTCCATTATCAATATAAGAAATCAGAAGACTATTTTATCGAAGTTAAAAATAAACTTACCTGTATGTTGCCAACAATGGATATATTGTCAGTTAATTGTTCCATACTAGTTGTAGTTGCACTGGAAAAGCATAGTAAAAATTAATATATAAATTATCCTAAATCAAAATAAAATAGTCGAATCTAAATGTATTCCACAGATTAATTGACCATTATTATGTTTATACATTTCCAATTTATCTAATTTAATAAATATTTTTTTTGTTGAATTATATATATATTTCTTCCCAAAATGAATAAGCAAGTAGTAATCCAGGATATGGGAATTAAAAGTAAAAGAGGAATCTATTATAGAGGCATTATAAAAGTCATCATATTTTTTAATTGTATTCTTAAGTGGAAATAATATTTTGACATTAAATTGTGATGAATTTTTTTTTTATAATCTTGGTAATTCTGAAATAACTATTTTTAATCTAAAGGAGTATCATTTTTAAAACGATTGAGACAAGAATCCATCACTTTTTCTATAATAACACTAATGTTTACATCTAATGCTAAATTTAAAATTCCCTTTCCAAATTCGCTAAAATTAAAGTTCTGAACTAGCTGAGCCGAGTTTATGTTTAGCTCGAGTTTGGCACGAGCCCGAAAACTCGAAATTTTCTATAAAATCACGATTTTTTAGACTGAAAATAATTGAAGCAATAAGAATCGTATAACATGCTTGAATTTTAAGAACATTAATAATTTTAAAAAATTCCGAAAATTTCAAGTGAGAACAATTCTGTGTTTTAATAAAAAAAATGTTTTTTAGGTTCTGGAATATATGCATATCGTCAAACGTTATAATAAGAAAATTGCATTTAAAATCCGTTACAACAAAATCACGTGTTAGTGTACTAATCACTATCTCCAAAATTAAAAATTTGATTGGGTGTAATGTTACACCCCCGCATTCCCCGCATCGAATTTTCAACACTGATTTTATGTTTTTAGTAACGCGAATTCAATTATAATTCGTTAAAACGACCAGCCAACTATAGATTTCTTGATTACTTACTATAAGATACCATCAATAAAAGCTCCATTATGTAGTCATTGATTTTCATTTATATTGTGATTGTTGAAGAATTATGATTAACTTCTTCCGGAATTGATATTTTATCCTTTCCTAAGTTCTCGCTGCTAGTCAATATTTTAATACATTTGTGTGTATGTGAAATTAATTATTTTTTTACACGAGGAAAAAATATTTTATATTTATACAATAATTTTCAATTGCTCGACACCATATTCGGATACAATGAGAATGGTTCATTATGTACTAGCTTTTAACAGAAAGGGACTATATGACAAAAACAACAAAAGGGAATTTTCTCAAAATTTCATTAAGCAAAGCGGGTATGGTTTCTAAGTATAAAATGTTGAGTTGCACATAGTGATGCTGTTACTTTAAAAATGAATTCAAATTAACAATTTTTACGAAATACTTCTTTATATTTATTAAATGTATACACACTCATGCTATGGAATCAAATTTCATACTTTCTTGGAAAGTTTTATAAGAAATAAAAAAATCATCTGGCTGCTCATTCACTTAGTATTAATCTTTTATTTATAAATTCTTCAAGATTTCTTTCCAAGTTCTTGTTTAAAATCCAAACGTAGCTTTTATAAATTCACTATAAAAAGAATGTAACATATTTTTAAAGGTCCTTCGTAGCATCTATATAACTTTAGAATGCAAGGAAGAAAATAATAAAAAAAAATTTTCAATTACAATGACGAGAGAAAAAAAAAGTTTTTTTCTTAAATGGCAAGGATAATTCTACAAATCACATCAATTTGAGACAACTTGAGCATGTGCATGTGATTACATGCACCCTTAAAATTCAGTTATAAATAAAAAAAGCGCCATTATAAAAATATTAAAATGGTAAACAACACTATTTTTTTTTAATTCAGTTCCTGATATATGTACAATTGGACAACTTAAAAATGTGACAGTTGTTTTCCAGATTTGGTTAGGGCTGTGTTCCACATTTATTTGTTGTCACAAAAATAGCTAGTAAAAAAAATAAGGCAACACAATTTCTGACGTTATAGAAAAATATATTATGCAATAGTTTTTGTAATATGCAATTAGTAATTTTGATAATGTTGGTGCCATCAGAACGTTGGGTCAGAATTGGTGGATTGTTAATTGTGTCATAATAAGTATTTAATAAAGACAGATATTAATATTAAGGAAGATTCAATAAAATCACTAATCCCATATAGAATAATTCATCAAATATTTAATATATTTATTATACTCTTTTAAAACTAACAGTGTAATGTGTAATATTTTGAAGAGTGTACATTCATTAGTCCATGCTGATATTGTGATTTTGCTTTTGATTATGCTAAAGTTCTATTGAGATTATAATCCGAGTGATTTGAATAAAAAAAGCAACTTTTATTATTGTTTTTTAAATTTTAGATTTGGGGAACAGATGCTTTAGCAAATTACAAAGTTAACAAATGAATGTAATAACTCTTCGATCATGATAATGTAATAATTTAACAAAAATTAGAAATGTTTAGCAAATTTACGGGGATTCTTTGCACCTAGTAGTGTAAATTGCTGGAAGTTATATTTTATATAGTATCATAAATTAAATAAATTAGTATAATATCTCAATGGAAAAAAGATAAAATGGTTTGGTTGAATATTTATTTTTATCACGATTATTTTTGTCTGTCACCTATATAGTAAAAAAAAAATTCATGAACAATTTTTCGCCCACGTACATAGCTTTGTATTAATGAACCCACTTCTGTATTACGCTCACTGAATCTAAAATGACGGATTTAAAAATTTAAAATTCTAAAAAATAACAAAGAAATATCAAAATGACGATATTGATTGAAGATGATATTGACAGTGGTCAAAGTAACAAGGTTTTTCTTGCACGGCTCTAGTTTTCTCAAAAAAAAAAAAAAAAAATTATCAGAACAATCATTTTCGATTGCATACACATACAAGACATCATTTTGGAATAAAAGATCAAGTGTGAATGTACAAAAGTACTTTGTAGAAAAGGCGAATTACAAGACGTCTGTCTTCATCTTGGAATAAGAAATTTCAAGCATGAGTATCGGGGCGTAAAGCATTTCATACTAAAAATAATATTTGTCTTGGGAAATTCACATGCTAAATTAGCCAATCAAAAGGAATTTCGCACTTTCAGACAACAAGTTTTTTTTTACATAATTATGAAAATTTAAATTGTTGTTATAATCATATATATTTTTATATTATGCATTCATGCATAAAATTCGACTGCGCCTTATATACAAATTTGTCAACAATCTGCTAATAATTTTCGCATTTGGTTAGACACATCTGTTGCATTATGGATAATTAATATGTAATTAATGTAAACAAATGTTTCACAATGAATAACTAAAGTTTTCGTTTTTTTTTTTTTTAAGTTCATTCATTTATATTATTTGTTATAATCACCTAGCGCAACGCATCTGCGTCAAAAGAAATAACCTGCAATATTCTGACGAGTGTACAGCATTGGTAAAATCAATTAATATCCCAAAATTATATCACGAGCATGCCAAGTTTTTTCTTTGCAACAATGGAAGAATATACATTGATGTATTATAAGAATAGATAACAAAAAAATATGCATGGAAAACAAAATTGCAAAATATGTAAGTTAATTAACTCTAAAAAAATCACTGAATCCTGATAAATTTAATGTTTCAAATGTAAACAAGATGAATCCAATTGCGTGAATGATTCGAACGACTTGAAGGCAACGTTTTTGGACTGGAAAAAATGAAATAAAAAACAATATTGTACGTTCATATGAAACAGTTATATTATTGACAATATCAATTTTCTCGCGCTATTTAGCATTTCGTACTATAAATAATCTTATATCAGTTGAAACAGATTTCTGTATGAAAAATAAATCATCCAAATTTTGTAGTAATCAATTAATATCAACTCTTATTTCAAAAACTTACAAGAAATATTAGAGAGAGAAATGAAGCATTGAAAGTTTATAGATGTAATAATTAACAAATCAGTATGATGATAACATTTAACGTTCTCAAAATTGGCCTATAAATTGGCCTTTAGATCCAAAATTTTATTTATAAAAAAAAAATAATCCACGTATGATGTTTATAATAAATAATATTAATAACTTTAATTATTGATTTGTAATATTTATTTAAACCTTAGTTATATCAACAAATCTTGGCAAACAAAATTTGATAAAAAGATAGCCCAAGTTTCTTATGAAACATTAAATAAAACGTCTCAAGTCCATCTTCATATTTTTCAGATCTATGAGATCTGAACTTGGTTTGGTTTAGCTAAACGAAAAGTTAGAGATATATGGATATCAGACAGATATGAATGATCAAGAATAATAAGAAACATAATGGTAGTATTAGCATTAATATTTCCGGTTTTAACCAAACCCTCTTTCAATTCAAAGAAAATCATTTATGCAAAAAACCAATGTTTCAGAATTTATTTATATATATATTAGTATATTAATATTGATAATATGCGAGTTAAAATAGTGGAACATTATAATAGCTATAAATAAGAAAATCATATTACAAATTTCTTTAAAAGGGAAATAAATATAAAAATTTATTTATGTAAAATTATATCTATTGTTTAGGAAATTTATAAATTCATTGATTTTTTTTTTCCATTTTTTGTTTTTTTTTTTAAATTCATTCATATACTCATCTTTTATTAATAAAAATTTTCTTTCGCGTGACCCATAGTCTGAATTTTATTCTTTCTTTCCTTCACTACTTGTTAATTTATTTATCAAGGAAGCGAGAAAGGAAAATTAATCAATTAATCAGAAAATCTATTTTTTGATTTATTCTTTATTCTTTCAATCCATTACTTCTGCTCGATCAATCGATCAATCAATCACACACAATTACTTGCTCCAATAGAATATGAAATCGTTAAAACAACAACCTCCATCATATTATTATTCTTCGATCCTTCTATATTAATATACTAATAAAAGTCATCTGGGCATAGATTGATAAAAAATAATTCTAATCAAATAAAACCTTAAGCAATTGTACCATACGTCTAGGATGTCTCTCTCTATCTCCTGTTATTATAATATTAGAATGGCTTACTATTAAGTCTAACTTTCGTGAAGTAAAAACCATAGTGAGATAAAAAAAATAATACCAAGTCATTCACACTTTATTAAAAAGCGAATATAATAAATAAAAGTTGAGATCCAGTTTCTTAGTATTACAAATGAAATTAACTAATAAATATGGACGCAATCAGAGTGGTTTCCATTTTCATATAAAATAACAATGAGATACAACCTTAGCAGAATTTGCATATAGTATTTAATGCATGTAAACAGCTACTGCAATTGGCTCCATTTATTTGGAAGGCAAATTCCATTCATAATCCACATGCCATTTTATGCATCATCCTATAAAAGAACATCACGCTTTTCTAAATCTTTACCGGGAAACATTCCATATATGACATGTTCGTTAATCCAACGCATGTAAATGCTTCCGTCATCGAGATTATTCTCGGCTGTTTTCTTGAGATCTTTGATGTATGGATAGATAATATTTTCCACATTGATTTAATATAAACTTGCGATTAATGTTAATAAAATTATTAGACGAAATGTAAGATCATGACTAATATTGTTAAATTAATGGATCTATACAAATGCGCTATATTTCAATATTTTAGTGTTGATGGTAGAAAGAAATGTTAAATAATTAAACAAAAAACATACTAAAAAAGACAATTAATAATGAACCCATACGCTTTCCTATCACTGGCTAATAATCACAATGAGGATAATTAATTATCAACATTATCAACAAAGCATTGATTATTGACTTCTTCGCCATCTTCATTACCATGTATTTTGATCTTTTGATCATTGCCCATGGTGATGTGGTGTTAAAGATTGGAATTTGTTGGGGCCAACATACATGAACGCTACAATGACTTTAACTGCTATATGTTATGAAGCTACAATTTTCATATAATCTAGTACGTTAAAAAAAAGTAAAATAAAGTAAACCACTTTTATTTTTGAGACAGTTCTCAACTTTGATATAATCATTGAATTTTGTTATGAAATTTTATTATTTCTTTTTACATGATATCGGAAGAATGTGAAGAAAAGAAATCATTTATATCAATTTTTTAAATTAAAAAAGTTCTTCCCTTTTCAACCCTACCAAAATTAATTGTTATTTATTATTGATACACTATTAGTACAGATATATACACAGATATATATATATATAAGATTAAATTAAATTATTATTATTATTATTATTTAAAAATTAAATAGTATAAGTTATTAATAAAAAGATTGTAAATTGAAAATTGTTTATAAGAAGAAGCTGACGAGGTATAATATCAAGAACTAAGCGTTGATGTTGATATACTCGAATTGATGACAGCGTCACTAAGAAGAAGTAGTATTGTTATTATCATCAGAAACTACAGCTGCTTTTGGCCTATAAGGTGTGCGATAAGTTGCAGTTTGATACCCTAAAGTTTCCAAAACTCTTATGGTTCTAGGCCCGAGCAAATTTGTATACGTGGTATTACCACCATTTGCGGCTGTAATATTTGCCACCGTAACACCTCTGGCAGATTTCCACATCATTACAAAGTCAACGGTATGGTTATTTGTGATATTATCTAAATGTGACATACTAGATCCAGGTTTAAACGGTGAAAATGTTGTTTCAATAAAAATTTGATCTTCATCATCATCATGAGCCCTGAATAGTATGGTGTCAGGTGTTGTAGATGTATTTAAGATACCCACCGAATACTCTTGGAAAATTGAAGAATTCGTAAACTGATTAGCGAAATCGTCATAGCTGCTAAATTTAGTTTTATTTTCAACACCACCAGCAAACGTGTTCAATTTTAATACAGTGTTGTATAATGGTTCATTGTTTGATGCTAACTGTAGACGTCTATCGAAACAATTTTCTTGAAATCCGGTAAATGTCACCTCGCCTTTGATTTCTTCAAAATCCTTCATCAAGAAACTAGGGAACGGTGTTAGACCTTTTACTACATCAAGTGTATAATAATCATTCCAACTTGATAAGAATCCTAATCCATGTAACATTTCATGAGTCACAACTAATACGAAATCCACTTGATCATCTCTTATTGGTGGATCGCCTTTGAACCAAAATATGTCAATAGCAGAATTGAATCCGGTCACGATATCAACTGGCATGTACTCGAGATGTGTATCGAATTTAAATTGTTTTGCTAGTGCTTGAGGATACAATCTGACCACGTCGTCGTCGTCCAATAATGGAATGTACCTTGATGGAGCGGCAGCGCCCAGCACTAAAGAATAGAAATATAACGTTAAAAGAAAATTCTATTTTA